AAAAAAAAAAAAAAAAACGAAAGCTGGTTACTGAGAAGATCCATAAAAGTGATAAATCTCTAGTCCCACTGGTCAGGAAAGATAAAGGACACAAACTGTCAATATCAAGAATGAGAGAGGTGCTCTCACTACAAATTCTATAGGTATTAAAGGGGTGATTAAGAGCATACAACGAATAACTCCATGCCAATCAATTCAATGACTTAGACGAAATGGACAAATTCCCTGAAAGACACAAGCTACCAAAGATCACTCAAAAAAGGAGTAGATAAGAAGATACAAATGTAGGGGCGCCTGGGTGGCTCAGTCTGTTAAGCGTCTGACTCTTGGTTTCGGCTCAGGGCCTGATCTCATGGATCGTGAGATCAAGTCCTGCACTGGGCTCTGCGCTCAGCAGGAGTCTGCTTGGATATTCTCTCCCTCTGCCCCTTCCCCCACCTGGTTCTCTCTCTCTCTACCTCTCTCTCTCTCTCTCTCTCAAATAAATAAATAAAATCTTTAAAAAAAAAAAAAAAACTGTTATAAAAGTCAAGTGGTTATTCGCGAAGGGGCTCTCAAAGTAAACATTGCAAAAGAAATACTGGTATTCTTGTTTTGAAATTTCACAGTCATATGTGCCTCATTGGCTAAATGTATCATAATGACCCATTATTAAGAGTATTAAGCAAGTTGATAAAAAGGAAGTTTGGGGCTGGTTCCTTTCTGATGAGCTCGGCATAGTCAACCAGTCCCTAAGTGGCCCATCACGATTGTGTCACTGACTTGGACAGCTCATCTGTACTACAATGGTTGTCTAATAGCTGGGCGGTAAGGCACCTGTCACACACCACCGAGGGCTCTTCTGGGGATTTTCTAAATCAGGGGTCAGCAAACTATGGCCTGTGGGACAAATCTGGCCCCCCCCCACCTGTTTTTATAAATAAAGTTTTATTGGAACACAGCCATACCCATTCATTCACCTATCGCTAACGGCAGCTTTCCTGCTCTCGGGAGGCTGGAGGAGTTGCGACAGACACCATCCTCCCCTCAAAGGCTAGAATACTTACAAGCTGGCCCTGACGGAAAAAATTTGCTAACCCCTAATCTAAATCAGTAAACAGAATCCCCAAATCACACTCTTACTAGGAGAAGGTGGGTCACAGGAATTAATTCTCTTCTGGGCTTTTAACATCATGATGCGGCGTTATATTTCAGTCTATATCACAACAGGAAGAATTTTACCTTGTCTTTTCGGTGTGTGATTTGGGATAGATATGTGCGGTGCTCTCTAAGCATCCCCACTTGACAACAGTGCAGAAGTCGGCTTCACACAATCGAAGTTGTGTGAAGGTTGTCACATCATGACAAACACTTATTTTGATGCTAATCCTCCTTCACAACATGCTCTATTAACTGGGAAAATAAAAAGCGTTCACTCTCATCAATATTTCTTTAGGATATTAAAATGCAAGTATCAGGAGAGCCAAATGATACTTTTAGTCCAACCGTCTTGTTTTTCAGAAAAGGAAACAGACCAAGTTAAATGATTTGTCTAAAAGCTGAGAGCTAGACAGTAGGTGATTTAAGCTTTTCCCTCAAACACACGCTAAGTTTATTATCCAGTCATAAAGGACACATCTTCTTGTTACAGGAACACCTCTAGAGAATAAAATATCTGGTTAACCTGATACATACTCACATAGTATTAGGCCAAAAATACCATGTAAATATAGTAGTACTTTGTGTATTAAATTAAGCAAGCAAAACACCTCACACCCACTTGGCTTCTCTCATAATCTTTATGCAATGAAAAATGTTAACTGCAAAATGCAAGGGTTGAGCCGATTCTCTTTCACTGATATCAAGTCTACAAATGTCTAATTCACTGCAACAACATGTGTAAAGTGGCCACAAACTAAAGGGGAACACACATTGCTGAGTTAGAAGATAGAAATATAAAAATTGAACACAGCATTTACCTCCATCTGCAAGGCTTCAGCCAATCCCCTGATGGCAAACTTGGATGAGGAGTAGGCCGTAAAACCGAATAATCCCAACTGTCCTGCCTGGGAGGAGACAAAGACGATCCTGCCCACCCGGCGCTCCTTCATGGTGGTGATGACTGCTCGGCTGGGGTACACGCTGCCTAGGTAGTTGACGCTCATTAGTCTCTGCAGGGAACAAAGAGCCATGCAAGAGGTGAGCAAGGTCAAAGCCTCGAGGCTGTGCTTCATGGGAGTTCTGTCTGCTCTCCAGATTTGAGTTCTTCAGTGGAGCCCAAGTGACTGGGAGCCCAATGGATGTGTTGAAGGCATGAATGATGAGATGAGCCTGTAAATGAGCCATGATGCTCACGATCTACCATCTGAAGTCTCTTTCAATCTAGTCTTGTATTCTCACCATGACCGCAGTGATGTCTTTGCTGAAAACTGGCCAGGATTAGTTTTCTCCTTACCAAAAGTGCACTGCGTCTTGCAGGTAATACTTCCAGAAAGACAGTTTTAGGAAAAAGCCCCCAAATATTTCTAACCCTACTAGTTCTAAGCTACAGAAAGATCATAAAGAGACTAGGACAGTGGTTAACAGCATGGACTGTGGGTTGAAGCCTTGGCTTGACCATTTACTACCTATTTGATGATGAAGAAAGTCAGACACTCTACTTATTTCTGCAGCTGAACCCAGGGCTCATGCTGGTACCAGCTCAGAGGGCTGTTGGAAGAACTGAAAGAGGAAACACAAGGCAAGAGGCAGCACAGCCTCTGACCCGCAGTAAGTGCCTGACCAATGTTGGCTCTTAGGTTATGATGGGTAAGAGCTTACATAGGTACCGAGAGTCTATTTTCCCTTCATCCTGGGAACTCTTAAAAACCTTATATTTTAACTTGGAAATCTAAAAGTACTTGCATCAAAATGACTCTATATTAAAAGTCTTGGAAAAATACTAGATCTATCAGCATGTGAAACCAAACACTTCACTGAGGAACTTTGAGTCAACCATGGAACGTTAACTCTACAGAATGTTATGTAGCTTTTAGAGATGGTGACCAGAAACACCAGGAGGATGGAGGAAATAGTTGTTCCGCAAGTTTAAAAAAACAGAAGACATACAACACTATAGTTACACCGTGACTGTAACTAATTCAAATAGTAAATAAAAGTACATGTGCACAGGCACTAAACCAACTATAGAAAACTGTAAGTGATAGTGGGGCGCCTGGGTGGTGCAGTTGGTTGAGAGTCTGACTCCTGATTTTGGCTCAGGTCGTGATCTCATGGGTCATGAGATCGAGGCCCATGACAGGCTCCACGCTCAGCAAGGAGTCTGCTGGAGATTCTCTATCCCTTTCCATCTCCCTCCCCCCTCCCCCCACGCTCTTCCCCCCCCAAATAAAAAAATAAATAAATTTGTAAGTGATTGTGTTAGGATGCTGGGATTCCCACTTTTCCCAAAATGTCTTTTAATATCACTACATTTCTTTGATAACAAAAATGCTCTAAAAAAGTGCTGAAAAAAGATAGCACACTGAACCCAAGTGTCAACCTCAGCTCCCTTCAGAGATCCCGCTAAAATCTGAGTAAAAAGATAATATTTTTTTAAAGGCCAACAGCCTACAGGAACATAGACGATAGGAAAGAAAATAACTGCAAGAACATTCTAGAAGCTGAAAAACAGAACGGTGACCGATAACGAACTTAGCAGAAAGCTGAATGCTAAGCAAGGAGCAGAGAAACTGAAAAGCAGGACTGCACCAGAGAACCCCCAAAGGCTCGAACAGCACCAAAAGCACCTCCGGGGGCAGGAGGCTAGGCATGGGCCTAAAAGAGAGGTGTATCAGCTAAAAGTCTGTCTGTCTGTTTGTTTGTTTATTTATTTATTTATATTATTTCCTTTTTAGAGAGAGCATGCGGGAGTGCATGAGTGGAGCAGGGGAGGGGCAGAGGCAGAGGGAGAGAGAGAATCTCAAGCAGACTCCACACCCAGCGCAGAGCCCGATGCAGGCTCGATCTCAGAATCTTGAGATCATGACCTGAGCTGACATCAAGAGTTGGATGCTTAACTAACTGAGCACCCAGACGCTCCTAAAAGTCTGTTTAAAACCTAGTCAGACAGATCCGCAATTATAATTCGAGATTTCAATACCCCTCTTTCAGTCACTGATCGAACAAGGGCACACAAAATCAGTCAGGACACAGAAGGCTTGACCAACATCTCAGCTAACTGGGCCTAATCAACACTGACGGAACACTCTACCCAAAACAGCAGAATACATGTTCTTTCCAGCACACATGGAATGGCCACAGGAGAGGCTGTATGTTGGGCCAAAAGCAAGTCTCAACAAATTTTAAAGGATTCAAGTCATACAAAGTATGTCTGCTGGCCACAATGGAACTAAATTGGAAATTGATACGGAAATTATTTCTGGAAAATCTCTCAAGTATTCAGAAACTAAGTAACACACTTTTAGATATTCCAAGGGTCAAAGCAGAAATGAAAAGAGAAATTATAAGATATTTGTAACTGAATTGAAGTGAAAACACAACATATCAGAATGTGTAGACTGCTGCTTCAGCATCATTTAGCTGGAAACTCACGGCACAACCACCCGCATTTGAAGAGGAAGACTCTCACATCGATGACCTCAGCTTCCACCGAGAGAACTATGAAAAGAAGAGCGAATTAAAACAGAAGTATGCAGAAAAAAGGAAATAATAAAAATAAGAGAGGAAATAAATGAAATAGAAAACAGAAAAACAACAGAAAGTTAATAAAACCGAAAGCTGGGGGGCGCCTGGGTGGCTCAGTCGTTAAGCGTCTGCCTTCGGCTCAGGTCATGATCCCAGGGTCCTGGGATCCAGCCCCGCATCGGGCTCCCTGCCCCGCAGGAAGCCGGCTTCTCCCTCTCCCGCTCCCCCCGCTTGTGTTCCCTCTCTCGCTGTGTCTCTCTCTGTCAAATAAATAAATAAAATCTTAAAAAATATTTTAAAAAAAAAAAAAAAAAACGAAAGCTGGTTACTGAGAAGATCCATAAAAGTGATAAATCTCTAGTCCCACTGGTCAGGAAAGATAAAGGACACAAACTGTCAATATCAAGAATGAGAGAGGTGCTCTCACTACAAATTCTATAGGTATTAAAGGGGTGATTAAGAGCATACAACGAATAACTCCATGCCAATCAATTCAATGACTTAGACGAAATGGACAAATTCCCTGAAAGACACAAGCTACCAAAGATCACTCAAAAAAGGAGTAGATAAGAAGATACAAATGTAGGGGCGCCTGGGTGGCTCAGTCTGTTAAGCGTCTGACTCTTGGTTTCGGCTCAGGGCCTGATCTCATGGATCGTGAGATCAAGTCCTGCACTGGGCTCTGCGCTCAGCAGGAGTCTGCTTGGATATTCTCTCCCTCTGCCCCTTCCCCCACCTGGTTCTCTCTCTCTCTACCTCTCTCTCTCTCTCTCTCTCAAATAAATAAATAAAATCTTTAAAAAAAAAAAAAAGATACAAATGTAGCCCCACATCTACTAAAGACATTGAATTAAAGTTAGAAACCTTCCCACAAAGATAAGCTCAGCCTTCCCTGGTAAATTCTGGCCAACATTTAAGGAAGGATACTATCAATTCTACACAAATCCTTCCACAAAAGTGAAGAGGAGGGAATACTCCCCTACTATGCTAAAAGGCTAGCATTACCTTTACACAAAAATCAGAAAATAACATTACAAGAAAAGAAAATTCCAACTAACGTCCCTTAAGAACACAGAAAGGATTAATAGCCAAGTGGGGTCTAGCCCAGGAATGCAAGGCTGGTTTAACATTGGAAATTAATTAATGTAACTCACCATATCAACTAAAAAAGAACTCTGTGATCATCCCAATAGATGCAGAAAAAGCACCTGACAAAATTCAACCTCCATTCCTTATAAAAACTTTCAGCAGGGGCGCCTGGGTGGCTTAGTCAGTTGAGTGTCCAACTCTTGATTTTGGCTCAGGTCATGATCTCAGGGTCATGGGATCCAGCCTCCTGCTGGGCTCCACCCTGGGCGTGGAACATGCTTAAGATTCTCTCCCTCTCCCTCTCTCTCTGCCCCTCCCTGCCCCCAACCTGTGCATGCTCTCTCTCAAAAAAACCAAAAACAAACAAAAAACCTCTCAGCAAACTAGGAATTGAAGTTTCTCAACTTGATAAAGGGCATCCACCCAAACACAACAAAAGAGAACAGAACTATAGCAAACATCATACTTAATGGTAAAAAAAAAAAAAAGAAATGTTTTCTCCCAAGATCAGGAACACCACAAGCATGTCTGCTCTCACCACTTCTATTCTGTACTAGATGTTCTCGCCAGTACAATAAGGGTACCCAGATGGGAACGGAAAAAAGTAAAACTGTTGCAGATGACATGATCTTGAATGTAGAAAATCCAGTGAGCACCAGAATTAATAATGGACTTTAGCAAGACGGCAAGATCAACACACAAAAATCAACTGAATTTCTCTACATGAGCAGTGAACACTCAGAAACTGACATAAAAAATACCATTTATACCGGCATCAAAAAATAGGAAATGCAGAAAAATGAGGTGCAAGACCCATACACTGAAAACTACAAAACACTGCTGAGAGAAACAAAAGAAAATTTAAATAAATGGAGATATATCCCACATTCAACGGTTAAAAGACTCGATATTGTTAAGATGTCAGCTCTCTGGATCTATAGAGTCAAGGTCATCCCAATCAAAAAGTGAAAATAATTATCACTAACAACTACAGGTAGATAAAGCAGGATACAGCTCCAAGAATCCAAAAGAAAAACCATTATACAGGAAAATTAGGAGAGGTGCACTGGCATTCCCGAAGACCACGTCCAGTTGCAGTAATTCCTGGGATGGCCTCACGGACTCTGCACCTTGTCGTACCCGTGACTCAGACTTATGGCAGTGAGAGGGCACGAAGCACAATCAGCAAGGGCAAAAGGCACCTGGGGCAGAGTCCAGAGGAACCAGGCGCGAGTTTCCAAGAGGCCTCTCCCCGGGGAGTCACATGGCATGTGCTGAGGTCCTCCAGCCATGAGCTGTAACCACACACTCAACCATCCTGTCCAGGGAACCCCTGTGATGTGAACTCTGTGAGCCTCAGTCAAGTTCAAAGGAGACAAACAAACAATCAAAACAAAACAAAACAATCAAATAAAAAAATGAGACAGAATTCACGTTACATGGAAATGAACTCTTCTCTTCAGGAAATGCATCAAACCCAGCAGTGTGGGTTCCAGCAGGACTTCTGGACAATGAGCACATCCCAGGCCTTGACCAGAACACCGCAGGGGACCAAGACAGAGAAGAGGGAGAGCAGAGGGGCAAGTACTGGCCGGGAGGGGGACGCGCCCCTCCTGGGAAGGGTGGCCCGCTACCTGCGTGCAGGGCAGCCGGGAAGAGGCCCTGTCCCTGGGACAGAGACAACAGGCTTCGGGTTACCAGTCCGTTCTTTTTAGAAGTCTGGTTCTCGCTGGGGTGGGACCGCTTCCAGCGGCCGCTAACAGCCACTCAAGCTGCTCAGTGCTGTGCCCGTCTCCGTCCTCCGGCCCCTCACTCCGAGTTTACCCACGAATGCCCCGCATCACCACCTCCTGCCCGACTCCCTCTGACACCTCCCACACAGCTCCCTGACACAGCAGGCAGGAAGACCCTCTGAACACCGAAACGCGGGTCACACTGCCGCCCAACTGAGCTGAAGCCCCTTCAGAGGTTTTGGACTAAAAGCCAAATTCCCCCATGGTGGCCTTCGAGGCCCCAGGACTTCTGGCCCCTGCTCCGCTCCACATCGCTCCAGAAGCTGACCCCTTACCCCCCAGTTCTCCTAATCCTCCACCCCCCCTGCCCCATACAGGCCTCCTGGTCCGTTCCTTGAGTTTGCCCTGCACATTCAGTCAGGGTTGAGTCTGCGGAGTCCCCCTCTGTTAGCCTCTCTCTCTCACTCTCTCTCTCTCTCTCACGTGCACACACACACAAGCAAACACTCATTCACACACACACTCCCTCATGCTCACACCCTTCCACACACACTCACGCACACCTGACTCCGCGGGCCACCTCCGAAGTCTCACCTCACTGGGTCACGCCTAGGCTGATACAACTATTTTCCCCAACTGATTCTTAACCCAGCTGTTGAAATCATCTTCAACATCTCCCTCCGATAACTTACGGTCAAGGCGTGCAGGCCAAGACAACCGCCTTTTATGCCGAGTTGATAAAGGAGCCTTAAAACACTCGAGTCCCAGAGAAGGCGCCCCTCTGCTTATAGCTGCATTTGGACGCTCCCGACTGGACTTTAAATCAGAGCTTACAGCGCCCTCCCAGCCCGCCAGAAGCAGGGTGTCTTCATTACTCCCCTAGCACCCTCCTCCATGAAAGGGGGATGTAATCGACCTTCTCAGAGAGTAAAGCATGCAAAATCCACTATTACAACGAAGGCTAATGGAGCATGAAGGAAAAGAGAGTTGATACCATGTCAACTAAAAAACCGTTTTGTATTTCAGGATTGCAAATCTGATGTCCATTTATTTAGAGCTGACAGAAATTACTAAGAGACGCTCCCTGGCAAACCTGTTTAAAAATATAAACCAAGGGGCGCCTGGGTGGCTCAGTCGTTAAGCGTCTGCCTTCGGCTCAGGTCATGATCCCAGGGTCCTGGGATCGAGCCCCGCATCGGGCTCCCTGCTCCGCGGGAAGCCTGCTTCTCCCTCTCCCACTCCCCCTGCTTGTGTTCCTGCTCTCGCTGTCTCTCTCTCTGTCAAATAAATAAATCTTTAAAAAAAAAAAAATATAAACCAAGATAGGATGCGTTATCTTTTTGTCTTGATTTCAGAACTCCAAAGAGTCTGCTCTTGAGCTTTTCTGGTTTACCACTGTTAAAAGCCCTGACAATCGAGATGAAAATCCAGCATCTCTTGGCTTACAGAGAGCTCTCTTGAAGAGAGGACCTCGGTGAATCGTCACCATGATGCATGTCCCATTTTACAGCTAGGGAAACCAAGGTCCAGAGACTTGTCTAAGCTCTTAAGGTTGGATGGTCATGGTGCTGGAACCAAAACCTTGTCCAACCTTCCCCTAGCCTTAGAAAGCTTCTATAAATCTGAATGTGTTTTATCTGTTTCGTTTGCAAAGCCTTCCCCTGTGGCTCTGTTCTACTTGTAGTATATGAGTTGCCCAATGAGCAAAAAAGCAAATGGCTACTTACTTCAAAAGTACTAACTTCAAGATCTTCAAATTTTCCCGAAAGTGACATTCCTGCACAGTTCACAAGCATGTCTACTGGGCCCAGTTTCTCCTGTGCCTGGAAAAATTTATCAGAGCAGGCGTTAAGAAAAAGAAGAGAAGAATCAGTTTTGTAGCAAATCAATGCCAATAAATAAAGTCTATACAACTATTAAGGCTACAGAGATGATTTATCAGTTCCAAGGCACACACCAAAATGGGAAGAACCAACTGAAAGGCAAGTGAAATAATTCCAGTTAGCCCAACCTCTTACTTGTTTTATGACATTCTCTACTTGGCTGTAGTCTTGAGATACGTCAACTGATATACAAAGCACCACCTGTTAGGAAGAGAGAAAAAAAAAAAATGATCAAAGCCACGCAGGTGTCTAAAAGTATTTTTTAAAGAATTTTTTTAATGTAAAGACAATTCTTGCCAAAAGCTAGGAAGTCTGCTTTTGTAGGCACAGATTGCATTGTTGGAAATCTGCTGACCGTGCAACTGCAGAGCCTAATTTTCTTGGCAGTTTTCACAGAAAACTCTCCTGCGCAAACGCAAAAACATGTCTTAAGAGATGTTGGTCAAAGTACACATTTTCAGGCATAAAATAAAAAAGTTCTGGGGGTCTCGTGCACAGCATGGTGACTACCAACAGGAATACTATATTGCATACTTGAAATCCACTAAGGGAGTAGATCTTAACTGTTCTCAACACACACACACAAAATAACTGTGTGAGGTGATGGGTGTATTAATCAACTTGAGGTGGTGAGCGTTTCACAACGGAAATGTGGATCAAATCATCACACTGTGTCCCTTAAGCACATACAATTTTTGTCAGTTATCCCTCAGTAAAGCTGGAAATAGAAAGGAAAAGAAATGTAAAAAGCTCCTCTTGGAACGCCTCTAATCCACAGTGACCGAGAGCAGGTCTGAGATCACGTGCGGCCAGATGTCGGGGGAGGCCTGGACCACAAGGAGGCACGTGGAACTCTAGGAGCAGGGACATGCTCTGTGTCTGGATTTCAGTGCCGCTTTCACACGTGTACATATCTGTCAAAAGCCATCAAACTGTACTCTTTACATGGATGTGGTTTACCGGACATCAATTATAGCTCTGGGCGTTAAAAAGAATGCATAAATTACATAAGGAATAAATAAAGCGTACATAAATTGTATCTTAAGTTGTTAACATCTTAGGTCGTTAAAAATAAAAACAATAAATCTAATAAATAAGCTTAAAAAAATACTCCCCTTGGAGTAATCCCAGAGCTCTGACGGCCCTACTGGGACTCCATAGCGTCAGGTGGACTAAAGAGATAAGCAAACAATACCTACTCACAAAAGCCACCTTAGCTTGAGTCCCCGGCTCAGAGCCTGAGCCTGGTGGTCTTTCAAGGCCAAGGGTCGATCGGGGCCTGTGCGAGCTTGAGGTCCCCGACTCTGGACAGACTGGCCACTCACAGGGGTCAGCAAAGCAAGCCGCAGAGCCCACCTGGCCCAAACCTGGCCACGCTCAGGGGTTCAAAGCACAGAGATGGCAGGAAGAGCCCAGCCCATGCTGGCCACGGATAACAATTCCATTCAGTCTTTGGAAAGGAAGAAGGGAAGTAAGGGAAGAAGGAAGGAGGGGGGGAAAAAAGCACATATCTCCGTGCTTACTTTGATAGAAATTTATAAAATAGCAGTTCAGAATACTAATGGGGACTAACAATGAGCTATTGTTTTAATTTCCCTTTTTGGATCATGTTTTCAAATCTAGAGCTTAACCTCTGACATTGGAATGTTCTGTGTGCCAAGGGCGGGGAGGGGTCGCGGAGAGAAGCAGAAAGGCATTTCACGACTTCTCCGTCTGTCCATGAGTTCTTCTGGGTGGAGAATGGCTGCCAAGCTAGGGGCAGACAGAATGAGTGTGCACAGGAGGGCACGTCCACATACACACACGTGCCCACGTGTGGCTGCAAGTCGAAGGGGGTGCAGTGCGGTGGAAGAAGCAGGCGCAGGCTTGGCAGGCCTGGCTTCCAACGCTGCCCCTTCGTTCACTAGCTGGGCAGAACCTGCTCCAGGAAGGGTGTCAGAAGCGAGTGACGACAAAGGTCCCTTCCAGCTCTGAGAAGATACGATGTGGGGAATAAAGCCATGACGTGAGAGGTGATTGCCTTAGAATCTGATGCGGCAGGCAGGAAGTCTTATTTGAGGCAGGAAGGAACCCTATCCGAATGATCTAAATTCCTAAGAAAAGGAAATGGCCCCCTTCACAAATGTAATAACCTGGAATATTCCAGAGGAGCGGCCCTTGGGTTTTATTCCTGTGATCGGGATTTTTACATGAGTCTTTTTATACAGTATTAGATCATTTACTATAAATAAAAGCTATCCCACAGACAAGTAAAATTTTGAAAAAAAGGGTTCACAAACCACCAGGAAAAGTGTCCACAGGGGACTGCTTGTGCTAAGCTGTGCAGCAAACCCCTTCTGTGCTGGTAGAAGGAGCGAGCTCCCTCTGGCCCAGGCCAGCCCTGCCTATCTTCCCTTCCCCGATGCAGATGGCAGGAACTCGCCGCATGACCTACAGCCTTCTGACGGCGGAGGTGGGGGCAGAAGTCATGGTGAAGAAGTCCAGGGCACCAAGATGGTGCTGACAGCAGGCCTGGCCTTCAGCCAGGAGCACATGAGCTCCATGGTTTTACAGGATACTTCTTTCTCTATCAGAACTTACACGAATACGAAAAAAAAAAAAAAGGGGGAGATTTGCCAAGCTGGCAGTTTTCCAAGGTTCACGGGCTTCAGAGAAGGGGGCACAGAAGCCAAGGTACTGGAGAAAACCTCACATGTGTACACAAGGAGATGTGGATGAGGACCTCTACCTGCGCACAGAGCACCAAAGCAGAAGACCTGCCGACAGCCCACGCACGGGGAAATGGCTGCGTACACTGTGGGTACCTGAGACTCTGTTACAAAAAATCAGGCCGATTTATTTTTCATGACAAGGAAAGCTCTCTAACATATTTTGGAGGGGAAAAAGAGGCAATTAAAACTACAGTGAGGGGAATCTGGGTGGCTCAGTCAGTTAGGCGTCTGACTCTTGCTTTCGGCTTGGGTCATGATCTCGGGGTGGTGGGATCGAGCCCTGCACTGGGCTCCACGCTTGCTTGGCATGGAGTCTCCTTGAGATTCTTTCCCTCTCCCTCCCCCTCCACTCCTCCCCCTGTGCTCGGGCACTCTCTCTCTCAAATAAATAAATAAAATCTTTTTAAAAAAATAAT